GTTTATGTAGATGACATAAACCTTATTGGAACTCCAATAGAGCTTCAAAAGGCAATTGATTATTTAAAGAAGAAATTTGAGATGAAAGATCTTGGAAAGACAAAATTATGTCTTGGTTTGCAAATAGAGCATTTGACAAATGGTATCTTTGTTCATCAATCTGCCTACACAGAAAAAGTATTGAAAAAGTTTTAAGCACATCCATTAAGTACTCCGATGTTTGTTCAATCACTTGATCTGGATAAGGATCCATTCTGACCTCAAGAAAAGAATGAGGAAATTCTTGGTCCTGAAGTACCATATTTTAGTGCAATTGGTACACTAATGTATCTTGCTAACACTACAAGACCTGATATAGCCTTTTTGGTTAATTTGTTAGCAAGGTATAGTTTTGCTCCTACTAGGAGGCATTGGAATGGGATCAAACACATAATGCGGTATCTAAAAGGGACTACTGATAAGGCTTATCTTATTCTAACAATTGCAGTCCCGATCTTATTGGTTATGCCGATGCAGGGTATTTGTCTGGCCCACATAAAGCTCAATCTCAAACTAGTTACGTGTTCATATGTGGAGGTACTGCCATATCTTGGAGATCTACAAAGCAGTCTCTTGTAGCTACTTCATCAAATCATGCTGAGATAATAGCTACTCATGAAACAAGTCGAGAATGTGTGTGGTTGAGGTCCATGATACATCTCATTAGAGAAAAATGTGGTTTGAAATGTGACATAGTACCCACAATTTTATATGAAGATAACGCAGCATGCATAGCACAACTAAAGGGAGGATTCATAAAAGGAGATAGAACGAAGCACATCTCGCACCAAAGTTTTTTTACACACATGAGATCCAAAAGAATGGTTATATCAACGTGCAATAGATTCGTTCAAGTGATAATGTGACTGATTTATTCACCAAATCTCTACCAACTGCAACTTTCAAGAAGATGGTGCACAAGATCGGGATGCNTACCCACAATTTTGTATGAAGATAATGCAGCATGCATAGCACAACTAAAGGGAGGATTCATAAAAGGAGATAGAACGAAGCACATCTCGCCAAAGTTTTTATACACACATGAGCTCCAAAATAATGGTGATATCAATGTGCAACAGATTCGTTCAAGTGACAATGTGGTTAATTTATTCACCAAATCTCTACCAACCGCAACTTTCAAGAGATGGTGCAGAAGATCGGGATGCAAAGATTCAAGGATGTTCTCATTAAGGGGAGTTAATACGCGTTGTACTCTTTTTCCCTTACGAAGTTTTGTCCCACTGGGTTTTCCTTGTAAGGTTTTTAATGAGGCATCCAAAATGCATATCATTAGATATGTGTACTTTTTTTCCTTCACTAGATTTTTTCCCACTGGATTTTTTCTAGTAAGGTTTTAACGAGGCACATTATCTATCATATAGACATTCAAGGGGGAGTGTTATAAATGTATTTGTATTATAGTGAATGTCTATAAAAGTATTTGTATTGTAGTGGATACATGTGTTTATATTATAGTG